ACGGGTGGGAGGGAGAAGGGAGGAGAGGGGGAAGTAGGCTTGCCGGTGAGGCGATGACCGAGGAAGGGGAGGGAACAAGGCTCCTGGGAGGGAAGAGGGGCAACCCGGAGACGATATGGAAGAGAGTTTTCTACAGTTTTAGCACTTAATACTTGTACCACTGGCAGGGGTGGGAGAACGAAAGGCTTATCCCCCCTCCACCCCGCCCTGGATCCACCTATGACTTATAAACCAACTGCATATGTTAATACAAAGACGATTTCAAGCCCGATATCTCCTAGTCATTGAATATTCACTGTTTTTGCCTCTAAAATTCCCAAATTACGCTTATTTTGAAATTTTTAATAAAAAGCATTTTTTTTTTGACTTTTTCCCCCGCACAAACTATGTACATATGCATAAAACAGGTGATATGGTTCTAACTGGAGATATGCAGTGGGAACGAAGGACCTAACATAACTACGCTCAGCTTATGGAAGCACATTAACAGCCCAACACCACCCTCCCGTCCTAGAATTGCCTCTAATCACTGTGGCATAACCCCACCGGCCATCGACAGAAAAAATTTCTCGCAAATCGTGCATGATATCAGCCGAGCCGAGCCGAGTTTTAGTAACTGAGGGCTCCACACACACATGTACCACAGGTCGTCACAATATGCGTTTTTGCATTTGCATGATGCGAAAGAAATATTAGGCGAGTTTGGTTGCTTATCGGGCAAGGGGTGTCCAGAGTACGATCAAGCACCGCGAAGGGGAAGATTGGTGTTTAGCGTTAATCTGACGTCGGATACAAAAAATGATATAAACTTTGTTGTATTTTAATTGTTATAATTTACTGCATTCGCATTTGTTTTAGTATTTTTGTATTGGGATTTTGAAAATTTTGTAGCATTTTTTGTTAAAAAAAGTATAGTTTTTTTTGTTTGTATAGTGTCTGTGTTGAGAAATCTTTTTTTGTAATGATATTTATGTTAGCAAAAAAAGCAATTTTTTCTTATATGTATGAGAAATGTTTGTATTTTATTATCGAAAGAGGTGTTTGTGTTTTATTCTTTGCTGTAAACAACTCTTGTCTGTACTTTTAGTGTGGGTAAAGTTTTGGTCTCAAGTATTTGTTCAGTATTTGAATGTAGTTCTGAGAAAGTAAACATCTGGTCTTTTTTTCTGAGTGCATCTTCATTTTGCCATGCCACGTCATTTCTTGGTTTCCAGTGGTATATTTTACACATGTAACCAGGAACACCTGACGGTAATTTTGAAAATAATGAGAACATCGCGTATCGGTTGGCAGCATGCTCCGGAAATTTCAGCTTCCTAGCTTCATCGATTGCTGAGTTGAAAGTGGGTGATGAAAGACATGGACAACCTCTTGTCAATCGCAAATGTGCAAAAACGCATAAAAAGTAGCTTACATCTGTTTGCTTTAAGTGGTTCCTGCACTCGTAGGCGGATCGAAGGGGCGGAAGGGACGAAATGTCTTTGAACCCTCGCCCTCCTCCCCTTCCTTCTCCCTCCAGTGGAACAGGCGCCAATGCTGCAAAAGCTCGGGTTCTGAGTAGCAGTGTTACAACTCTATTCCTAGTTTTTACATAGTTCTAGAGTGGGAGTGGGCTTTCCGTGCCTCCCCCCTCCCCCCCAGGAGTCCATTTTGGAACAGCCTATGTCTGTATTTGTGAATCGAGCATACACTGTTAACTGCTTGGTCTGTTTTTTTCATCCTAACAAATTATCTTTCCTAAATTCGGTATTTCTACGGTAATCCAAAGAAGCTAAGCAAGGGGATGCAGGGCTGAGGCAGTACAATCGGAAAATCTATCAGCGGACAGTGAACTGTAACTGTTCAAAGTAAACAACGAATGGGGTCATATGAAGTGTGTAAATTAACCTTATTGTACAATGACATAGAACAATAAGCTTTAGCAGATTTTGCTATTTATTCGAACTGTACAAAAGGTACTGAAAAATAATATTCGGGTACAACTGCATGAAAAAAATAGTGTCTCTGCTCAATCTGAAACGAGTATGATGGGGCAGAATTCGTCTCATTCCTGTTCAAGTTCAATCAACACACCACCACAATCTTCCGGATTAAGGAATATTGGCAATTTCCCAGGCGCTCCACTACTGGCCTCTTTCGATAACTTCCGGATTCCCTGTTTCTTCATTTCTTCAACAGCCTGGAATATCCGAGGATTTCAACGCTGTAAAACCCTTACTTCTGTTGAAATTCCAGTTTGTCCTATCTCCCGGTCATCGTTTGGATGCCATTCAAAGGCCAGCCATGTAACAGGCTATTATAGGAATGCGATAAAGATGTCAGATCGTTTTCGTGATAATATTTCGTAATCCTAGACGTTACTTTGGTATTTTGATTAGCTGTAATTTAAAACTGGCTTTCCACCCTGTGCGACTGACAACTGCCCAGTTGCTTTGACCAGTGCTGCATTGCCTGATGGTCAGCCTGTTGGCGATTCTAATGAACACATTTTGCCTTCCGAAAGGATAATCAATTCAATGGTTTTCCGGGCAAAACCACTCGGCAAGGCTTTAGCTGTTCCGAGCTGTTGTTGCTCAAGAATTTGATCATTATCATCTTGTCTTGAGCGTTGCATTCCCAGGCCAACAGTGAAGTACTCTACCGCTTGGAAATTATGTCATGAGTAATTTCTAGATCTAATTTTACAAAACTAGCGGATTTCTAGATGAAAGTTGTTTCAGGGTGGTAAACCTAAGCCTCTGTCCGTCAGCCCATGACAGCAGTCTTTTTTTGAGATCCAGTGAAAAATCTACGATATACAAGACGATAATCATCATCAAAAAAAACACATTTTTTTTTTTGCGCGACAATTCCAAAGCTGTTGGAGGTAACAATATTAGCGTTAATTGAGTAACACAGACGAGGAAGGTTTGGAGTTTTCATTTCCGGAAATCTTGTCCCTTTTAAGCGAATTTAGGCTTTATTATTCCAATCAGAAGCGCCGTGTATG